CATTCCTGCCCCAGAGATGTGAGATGTTAGCTATTTGAGGCACGTGGTGAAACTCAGCGCTTCCTAGCAATTTGTGGAAGAAGGCATGAAAAGGTTCATAACACTGGGAGAAATCGGTGCATTGGAATGAAGGGTACAAACGTCCTATATCTCATTAGATCAGCTGCAATCCAATGTTACTTTTTTATAAGATTGATATTTTAATTAGCCAGTCCCAAACCAAAAGCAATTCTAGCTCTTTAAATCCCTTAAATTTCAGCAGCTTGTTTGGTTTTGGGGTTGGTTTTTTTTTCTATCATTTTCAAGGTTTAACTGATATCTAAAGCACAGAAGAGTTGGGTAGTTGACATTTCCATTTGTCCCTGACATTTAATTCATGGACATCTTGCTTCTAAAATGCAAATAAATCTGGCTGTGAAGAAATACCTCTCAAAGAGAAATACAGCTCTGTTAGTTCAATCTGCACCTGGTTCTTAATGAGGTTGTTAAAGTCTGTAGGTCTCCTGTGTTGCCCCTTACTAACCCCGTATCCCTGGAAGCTGCTCATTATTTTTGTTTTATTGGATTTCAAGGAGGTTTTTAAACCAAATCTGATCAACAGTAATTTCACTTTCTGGTTTTCACCTGGTCCTCACTGCCTCATGACCTTCAAGAGTGAAAAATGGAATATTCGGCCAAAATCTTACTGTGCTCTTAGGGCCCTGGCCTTCCTTTCTGCTCTACTAGTGTGTAAAAGTTTCATCCTTTTCTTACTACAGCAGGGTAACATAACCAGGATGATAAAGGTTTTCTGAAAAGAGAATGGAAGCTGTCCTGAAATGTTAGGAAAGGAAAATAGCAAAAGCACGTGGAGTCCACCTTGTTTCCTTGTGATTCAGACAGCCTAAGGAAAGCCTGGGACGGACTGCATCCCCCAGCAAAGCAGGTAGGGCAACATGGAACGTTTTGGCCAAAACTGGAGCTTTGAAATACTCTAGAAAACAGTGGAATGAAGAAGTCTAAGTTCCTACAGGAACGACGCAGCAAAGAAAGAGCATTTGTGATTGATTCTGTCCTCCCCTATAGCACCTGGGGGTTTTAGAATTTGGCACGCAGTCACAGGCTAAAAAGCGGTAACCGCAGATGGATCACCGTGGCTACGTAACACTTACCTTGTCCTTGCTTGCAGTGATAGCCTCTTGGTGCAAGAATAAAAAGTTCCCCGACTTTCGATCCATCAGACACTCAGGCGTGTCCTCCATTTGATTAGGCCTAGGAATGCTTTTTTTTCCCCCCCACATCCATAAGTTACTTATTTCCATGAAAGTTTTCATGAAATTCTGACTGTTGCTTTTAATCACTTCTGTAAGCACTAGTAGATACAGCCATGCTGACTATTTTATTAAATAAGCATGATATCAAGCCACTGCAAATCTGCTGGGGCTGAAAGCATGGGTTGGAGGTAGGGGTCAGGGTCCGGGGGGAAGAGAGGCTTGCGTGCTGCGTGCTTGGCAAGACCACAGCGCAAGTTCAGCGTAATCCTGCTGGGGGGTGGGCTGGAATGGCAGTGCTGCCTGGGCTGAGGAGTACAGCAGCGCTTGGGGGTGAGGGTAAGTAGGTGCAGGTAGTAAGGGGGGGTAATGTGTGCTGCCTCCAAGGTCACCTGCCTACGGTTGCACCCCCACAGATTGCAGCTTCTCATAAACAAGAACTGTGAACATTGTGAAATCATTTGCTGGGTGGGGGGACACCCTACATAAAGCGCGTCTCTGCAAGGTATTATGGAAAGCAGTGTTGGAGCGTTCGGCCTAAGCATTTCTCTGTTGGGAGTTGCTTCCAGGTGCATCTTTTTCTCATTGAGATGTCATCTAGTTTCCATAGGGTAAGTAGTTTGTAAATATGTTAATACCTTCCCCTCTTTGGTATGCGACTACACCAGAATACCTACCTTATCATAGAAGATAAAAGCACGCTTGCCCTAGTGGAAGATAATGCTTCTCAGTGAGTTTGTGTTTCATTACGCAGTAAGTTGTCTTTTAAGATACCCATAGCGGGATTATCTTAAGTTCCAGCTGTAACGTGCCCTGCTGTAACTACTAAAGTACAACTGCCATAGGGTGGATTTCAAGAAGTACACCTTTTATACTAAAACATAATTATTTTTTTATTTAGCATCTTCCCTGTTGGTACGTGTTTCAGTTCAGTGGGAGTTTAACCACCTGAATGGTGGTGTAACTTTTGCCTGGTTTGCCCACAGCCGCAAAGGGGGTAGGTGGTAACCAGCCAACGAGCAGCACCCCACCCACCTACGGGGAGCAAAAGCCATTACAGCTAGGACTGTCAAATGTAGTTAGCTCCTCACGGAACAGCCGGGTGGTAACTGGCATCTAGGCAGAAAAGTGGCTCGAGCTCACCTCTGCACTGAAGTTTAGCTGTGGGGAGGAGGGACCCGAATCTGCCCTGGCCAAAGACAGGTTGTGCTTCAGCGTATGTTGAAGCTGAAGCCCCTCACTGCAGCTACTGAAGTTCTGAAAAAAACATTTTTCAGTAGGCCTTTCCTGTTACCTCCAGAAGAAAGCTAAGCCTGATAGTGTATCTAGCAACATTAATTTTGAACCGCTTGAAGGTAATGAGAAAGAAGGACCGTTCAACTACTGCGATTAAAGCTTCAGTAACAACCGCAGTCAGTATAGATTTATTTCAAATCAAAACATTTTACAGCAGTGTAATGTTCTCAGAGTGCTCTAGGCCAACACACACATACCAACTCTGCAGGCATCATTTGGAACATGCTGTATCAAGAGCAGATTTGTGTACTCTGATGTGAATAACCTTGAATCCTTTCCCAAGGCAAGACCTAACTTTTTCCAGGGTTAAAATACACATACTTGTTGCTTCAGCATTACTTAAGTAAGTGTGTTGCTATTTAAGAATGTTGCATTAAGGATAAAGGAAATGCAGTTTGTCAAACCAGCGCTTTACTAAGCTACAGGAAGGCTGGAGATCCAGCCTGACATAATGTAGTAATCAGTAAAGAAATTTGCTTTAAGATCAGCAGCATTCTGCCCAATTAACTTCTGGAGGGAAGTTATTTGTTTTCTATTGAAAAAAACCTATGAACTGGATGATTTGGTTCTGACACAAGCATGACTAGTACCAAGCTCCCTTTAGCCTGCGGCGGGGCAGGCTGTTTGTGGCAGGGTGGTTTGTGTGCATTAATCTTCCAGCGTACCACTGTCTTTGGTATTGCCAAGACAGGAGTTTAAAAAGCAGCATATTATCTTAACGTAAAGTTCAGTGTGCAAGGGAGCTAGCTGAAAGTCCCCTTCATCACTGCATCTGCATGATCACCCTTTTAAACCCATCTCCCAGCTTTGTATGAGTTTAGGGAAAATAACGTTACTACAGTTGAGTTGCTCTTTCAGAGAGATTAATTCATTACACAACTAAGACTCAGTTTCACTGAGCAATAGCAGAAACTGAGACAGACGCAGAATAGTTTTAGAAGTTTATTGTAAAGACCTTTACAATCTCGGTACAGAGATAAGGATATAAAATGATGTTGTTTGGAATAATTAAGGCTGGTTGGTGGTCATCTGAATTTCACTGTTCAATGGAACTCAAGCAAGAACAACTGATTTTTGACTGTACATATTTTTATTCGTGTTCCATCATTACAGTGAGATCACAAGTTATTTCAGAGACTCAGTGCCTGCTTATTATAAAATAAAGGACATTATTTACGTGATGAAAGAAAAAATTCAGCATTTTAGTGGAATGGATGAGTAATACTGCAACAAGTTTAGTCCACGTACTTCCCAAGAATGTCACCGTCTCTAAACAAGTAGTAGTCCTGCAAAGAAAAGGAACATTAGTACCCGTCATACCAGTTGTTTTGCAAATACTGTCTTGTTCTGAAGTCAGGGCTACCACAGTCATGAAGTAAAAAAAAAAAAAAAAAAAAAATTAGAAGTGAGAGAACCAACATTAGCTCTGCCTCTTGACTTCTTTAAAAGGTGGTTTTTTTGTTGTTCATAAGATACTCTTTGGGAAAGCTACCAAGTTACTATTATTAGTGGTAAGAAGTGTAAGAACCCTTAGAAGAGAATTCTGCAAGCTGTCCCTGTCAAAAACAAGGATACCCCCACCCAGTGATTTCAAAGCCTTTTTGGGGTTCCCTCTACCACATGCTTGGCGAATGGAGCCACTTCGTCCACCCAGCAAAGGTCAGGCCAGAGGTTTCCTTGGGTGCTTCCTTTTACGCAGAGGTGGAAGCAGCAAGTACTACAGGTAGTGGAGGCTGGCTGGACTCAGCTGCTGCCGCAGGAGTACCAACAGATGCATCTCTTGAATGCCACTAACCCTATGAAGTAACTACAGTATTTATCACTGGCAGTATGACATTTTGGGAACCAGCTTAATTTGCATTTACAAAGTTGGGAAACCTACCTTATCTTCTAGTACAATCTTAGTACCGCCATATTCTGGTAGCAAAACTTTTTCACCAACTTTCACACTCACTGGCTGAATGTCACCATTCTGAAAGAAAAAGAAATCCTTAGTTTTCCACAATACAGACAGATGTAATGAAACTCCTCCAAACTACAACAATCCATCCACATATAAAACATCCCAGAAATCACAACAACTCTGTATTTTTGTTGTACAGTGGAGAGTGTACAGGTTTACTAGGAATAAAAGCACACCGGTCAGTTCTCACGCATTGGAGTCCTGCAATATTTAGGCAGAAGTGCAGCAATTTTCTGAAAATAATTAATTTTCATTTAGTTTTGAGCATAAATACAAGTGTGAGATCTTTGCTTGACATACTAAATAGGACTTCACTTAAAGAAAAAAAAAATACCTAAAAAATTAAGTGACAGACCATGAAACCCCCTTGTAAAATGAAGGGAGAAAGTCCATTTCCATGTGCTATAGCCAAGGCTAGTTTCTCCAAGTGCCAGTTAAAAGTACTTCGTTACTTTGATCAACTTGTCACTGTTGCTGGCAAAGCAGTTTGTTAGAAACACCTGATAAAGTTTAATTATAGTTTTGCAATATAAATAAAATATTAGCAAGTTAGTCAAATATTAGCACTATTTCACAATTTAAAGCTTTAAGATACTGACAAAAACCAGCATGGTATGTACAGAGGGACTCATGGTAAAGAAAAAGCCCGAGTCAACATGCCCAGGTTGAAATTTAACCTGTTTTCCACTATTGCTACTAACTGAACACTACTTTGGTAGGGAAAAAAACCCTTCTGATGCTGAAGCCTGTAGCCATCATAATTTTTGTGAAGATTGTCTTTTTTTATGATCCCAGATGCATATTTAATATGCAAAATTAACAAAAAAAGCCCCAACAAAACAACCCCCAAAACAACCCAGCATCAAACCCCACACCACTACTGTCTAAAGTTGGTTATAAGTATCAAATAATCCTGATTTTTAAAAGGCAAGTATTTTCCATTTTACAAACGATGAAAGGAATGCTGGAATTCAAGGCCAGAGACAGTCAGGAGAACTTGAGATTTCTACCTCCTCTGTGAATCTGTGCTTCCAACTTCAATCATCGCCATCATCCGTTTTTGTGAGCCATCACTACACGCATGCTGCAGCCATCCCCTTCTCACAAACACATTCCCACTGCCACCACACCATTACTAGTTCTACCCAACCGTGATGCTTCAGGATATTTACCTTTCCTCTGGCTCCCGATCCAACTGCTACTACTGTTGCTTGTAGCACTTTCCCTTGAGCTTTTTCTGGAATCATGATGCCTCCTTTGGTTACTGTCTCAGCCGCGCATCGTTCAACCAGAACACGATCAAAGAGGGGAAGAAACTTCCTAAATGCTTTTCCTGCCTGTGGAAGTAATTGTACATTGTAACAAGAGGAAGGTTACAACGAAACTGCCATTTTTTTCAGAGTTAAAAGAAGTTCTTTCTCTTTTGAGAGAAATTAATAGTTTTCCAAGAAAACTGCTGAGCGTTTATATTTAATGGCAGCAAACACACGCCACCTTTGATTGCATCAGAAACTGCTGAAGACACAAGCCGATGCTGGGCAATCCCGAAAGTTCAGCCCTAGGAATATGTCCTCCAGCTGGGGGAATAAACCACCGCCAGATGGAGCGGCTGCCGCCTCCGGCCAAAAAGCTCTGCAGGCTTCAGCACCAAACCCTTAGTTGCTATAGTTTGATGAGCATCATTGTTGATTATATGCAATATATTAATTCAGTTCACAACCAGATTTAACGATGATTAAGGACCTCTTGGGACAGTTGCATTTTTATTCACTGGGTGTTTTATAACAAAAGCCTAGCCAGGTACCCACAGCAGTCTTTTCCAGGTACTTTCAAACCTTAACATTTCACACAATGATATAGAACCTCCAAAGCCCAAAGCGAGGGTACCGTGACTTGTATTGACCTCTACAAACAGACCACAACTTTACAAGGAACTTTAGGTTTAAGACCCTAAAAATAGGAAGGTAGGCATACTTCTACCTCGACCGCTTCAACATCTGCCTCTGCTTAAGCAGAATTAGGGTTGGGTTTTTGTTGGTTTGGGGTTGTTTGGGTTTTTTTGCAACTACTTAGCTGCATTTCAGAAACAGCAGTCTAACTCCCATGTACTAGGTAAATGCAAGCACCAAATCCCAACATGCAGAGATCAGGAAGAAGGAGCTTGCTTTAATTTAGAGGGAAAGATATGGCAACTTGCCAAGTCACATGGAGATAGTGCTCCACTGGACAGGTACCCAGAGCCCATGCTCACAGAAACAGCTAGAAACAAGGGCCTGGCACCTGCGCGCCATTTACTGACGCTCATCAATATATACACACACGCACACTTTAGAATTGGGAGAAAACAGAATTACAGGCAGAGCACAGACATAAGACAGTACACAAAAGGTGTGTCCCCCCCAGCTAAGGTTACTACCACGACAATGAAAAACAACCAAGGGAAAGGCTGCCAGTTGTGATCATTTTCATTCTGCCAAGGTAACATCTCTGATCCTCTTTTTTTTTTTCTTAAGAGATGTTCTGTGTTTTAGAGAAACGGGCAGCCAGACTTACGACTGTGAGCATTTTGCACTAAGTTTTCTGAAATTATATTTCCTCATATTAGTAGGATCACAAGAACAAAATATCCCTGCAAGAACAAGGGCAGCTCTGCCCTTGCCCAGCTCTCCTACCAAGTAAGGCCGCTATAAAAAAAGTTTATAGAGCACGGAGGATGAGCGATGGAGCACGCGGCGCAGCAGGTTTCGGCGTTACCCGAGCAGCCCTGCCCGCCGCGCTCTCTGCTAAGGGGATGCTCCCGCTGCGGCGGGCCGGGGGGAACGATTAGCGGGAGCGCCCGGGACGCCAGAGGCGGCCCCC